CACCAAGTGGACAACTGACCACTGTGTGGCCCACTTCCGTGGGCGGTTCCGTCCGCGCTTCGTTCGGCCCCCTCCCCAGCGGCGGGGCGGCCCTGAGTGCGTGTGTAATCATACCGCAGATGATACCGTTAAGTCGGGCCTGTCCTTTTACAGGGGGAATACTCAAAAATAGTCAGAAAATAGCCTGGGGACGATTTTCTGACTATTCTTGAATCGGGTATTTTTGGTGTATATATATATATATATATAGAGAGATTTCGCCCAAAATCCCTCTGTATGGGGGACAGGCCCGACCTAATGATAGCGACGCTCCGTGGGCGACTCGGTGGGGGGACTCCGCGGGGGACTTGGTGGGGGGGGGGGCCCGGTGTGCAGACGGCACGGCACTCGCAGTAGGGGGCGCGCTCGCGGGCGGGCCGCGCCGGGAGATGGGGAAAAGAGAGGATGGGGGCCTGGACGGGGAGGAGGGGGTAAGAACGACGAGGCCGACGAAGTGGAGCATAACGAGGAGGAGGAGGAGGAGGAGGAGGAGGAGGAGGAGAAAAAGGAGGAGGAGGAGGAGGAGAAGGACGAGGAGGATGAGGAGGAGGAGGAGGGGTAAGACCAGGTCGAGACGGAGGGCGTCGAGGGGAACACGAGGAGGAACCCAAGGAGGAGAATGGTGCTAGAGCGGCGCGGGCTGGGAGTTCTCTGGCGCGTTGCCAGGGGCGCCACCGTTGCGCGCCGCGGCGTCCTTCCCGCGGGTCTCGAACATATTGTGTTCAAAATTATTCGCAAATAAAGGTTTGACTTAGTGGGCGCCTTCTCTCCTGCGCGGGGGCGCTGGCTACGACTTTGGCCCCTGGGAGATGCAGCTGGCACATCAAAGAAGACTTCGGCGCGCCAGCAAGTGCCCCGCGAAAATTTCGTATCCTCCGTTGTACAGAAGCTTTAGGGCACCTTAGGACCCTCAGAGATTGACGAATAATGCGCCCCAGTATTTATTTTGATATGATGTCTCATTAGGTCATGCCCACCATGCGTCCACAAGATCGGCATTCGGAGTTGCCGGGCACGAGGTGTGGGGGGGGGCAAAGGTAGCCCAGGCACGCCTTCGCCACTTGACGTCCCTCTCCTGCTTAGGCCGCCCAGTCCCGTCATCGCCCCTGTCCGCGCGTGCGTGAACGACATTGCTAACCTGGACTTCGGCCACACAACACTGGGTAACATCATCATGCCCGAGGGCGTCGTCAATCCCGTGGGGCACTCTTATCACGACCTCAACTTCAGGAAAGCTCCAACGCGTGCGTTTCCAATGACGAGGGTAACAGAAGAGAGGGGTCATAATTTCGCGGGGTGGAATAACCGCGTAATGCGTGGCTCGCAGGACCCACAGGGCAAGGTTGGAACCAGTGGAGACCGCGACAGTTACCGCGACTCGTTCGAGGTCCTGTCCGGCAGTCTGCACCGCGTGCTGCCAGTGGCCTCTCTCGAGGGGCTGCCGACGTGGGGCTGGGCCTTACCCGATCACCCTCAAGAGCAGCACGGCGAGGGGGCCCACCTGGTGACCGTCATTTAGAGTCAGCTTCCTGATGAGCGCGAGTAATACCCAGGGCCGCGTGTGCCACATCGGCTCTCCCGGCACATGTGCAAGTGGGTCGCCAGTATGACCGCGCATGTGTGCCTCAGCAGCGTCCCTGAGCTGCAGGAGGGGGGGTGCGTCAACATTTAACATGAGCACCGCGTGGTTTGGCGTGCTGTGGCCTGGTAGCCGTTCGATCATCAGCTTGCGGGCCTTATGCAGTGACCCTACCATCTGGAACATCGCGGGAGTGTCATGACCGGAGCATGGGTAGTGCGACTAAAAAGCTGGCACAGGAGTTCATAACGTTGGGTGGTAGTCTTGATGTTGACGATAACAACTTTGCCATGACCATCAGGAAACCCATCGGCTGGAACCATCACTATTGCGAAGTCCCCCCCTACCTGGTGCCGCGCGACGCTCTCCGTGGCCATGTGCCAGCCTCGCGGTGTCCGCGACCTTTGAGAACCGTGGAGTGGAGGCCTATCCAAGTGTAAGTGCACGCGGCCACAAGGGCGAGAAGATCCCCTGGCAGGCCCAGTTGCGGTACCACGTGTGGGCCACTGGCCAGATCTGTGTGGTGGACCCTCGCTCGGGCGTCGACTATGCGTCGATTATAACGCGTGACCTACTAGCGGTTAGTAGCCGCGAGTGGGTCACGCGTAATTTTCGTTTGTGAGGGCAGTCGGGAGGTATGACGGCATCAGGCACGGGGCGGCGAAGGAGTTCCCCAAGGACAACGTCGAGGCCAGGCTGGGATCCTGGGCCGAGTGGGGCGAGGAGATTGACGGTCTGGAGAATGACCAATTCATGGTGGACAGTGATCGCCGCCAGATGATGGTGCAGTGTGCCAGCCGTGAGCGCGAGATGAGGCAGAAGGCCAAGGCCTGCGGGAAGGGCTAGTGGCCGAGGTGAAGCTCGAGGAGACCCAGGTGAGTGCGCATGTGTGACCAGTGGTCTTCCTTCCTGCCTCACCTCTCTCCACGGTCTGTGGCGCTGTGATGCACGGAAGAAGATCGGATATTCCGCCATAACCGAAGCCACTTTTTGCGCTGTCGTGCTGCATTAGCTCTGTGCAATGTTTGCGCCTTTGTCCTTTGGTGTATGCGTGCTCAATGCGGTGTAAGTTCATGTCTGAGCTGATCGCATTTCTGTCGCTCACTACGTCGCTGCATTCGTACCCCAGGGTTTGCTTTGGTGTCCACTCGTGGCACACGAATTTCCACAAAGTTGCGCGTGACTTACCCCCGGCCTGTGCCATCAGGTCGATGGGGTGTGTTTCAATGTAGCCCGTCAGGTAGCTGTTCAACCCGTGGCATCTGGCTTGCGAAATTGTCGCCGCCGGCAGGCCGTGTGACATAGCTTCGTACGTTAGTGTCGACCGCTTCTTGTAAAATTACCCCAGTGCGACCCTACCTAGAAGTTGGAGCCCCTACGACAACAGCATTAGTTGCTATGCTATGCTATGCTATGCTATGCCATGCTATGCTGCGCTATGCTATGCTATGCTATGCTATGCTGCGCTATGCTATACTATGCTATGCTATGCTATGCTAAGTTATGCTATGTCATGCTGCGCTGTGCTATGTTAAGCTATGCTATGCTATGCTATGCTAAGCTGCGCTATGCTATGCTATGCTATGCTATGCTATTTTATGCTGTGCTATGCTATGCCATGCTATGTTGCGCTATGCTATGCTATGTTACGCTATGCTATGATATGCTATGCTTGGCTATGTTTTGTTATGCTATGCTATGATATACTACTGCAGCGCTGCGCTATGCTAAGCTAAGCTAAGCTAAACTAAGCTAAGCTTGCGCTATGCTATGCTATGCTATGCTGGGCTATGCTATGATATGCTATGCTGCGCTATGCTATGCTACGCTATGCTATGCTGTGCTCTGCTATGCTAAAACTCAGCGAAGCTAAGATGAAGGTAAGCTAAGCTAAGATAAGCCTGAGCTAAGATGAAGCTAAGCTAAGCTAAGATGAAGTAAGCTAAGCTAAGATGAGATACGCAACGCTAAGCTAAGGGGACGTAGCTGGGGGAACCGCGGGGCGGATACTGGGGGAACCGCCCGGGGCGCTTTCCACTGCCCGGCCCCTTTAAGCATACCGGGTAAGAACCTTTCTAGGCAGAGCCTAGGTAGGAAAAATCACGTTGCGGAACCCCTGGCGGTTCATTTGTGTTCGGGAGCCTCGATTTTGAAACCCTTTTTCAGAACCTTAGATTGTTGATGGATTGTTGGCATGTGCGCCCGACACCGCGCGCGTGCACACTTCGTCGCACATGTTGCAACGAATTCTTGGACATGGGCTACAAGTGATAAACGAGTGCGCGCGCATAGTGTCATTTGACAGGGATTGGAAAGGGGTCGACCAATTGCTCCCCCTGGGACCGTATCAAATCAGACTTGGATTAACGATGGGGCATAATCACGTGTAAACTGCACTACCCCCCCAAAAAAAAACCGAGAATGTCGAGGGGGTTGAGTCTATCTATACCGTTCTAGAAAAATATAGCAACAAGGATCCTATGGTGTGCAGTCTCTGCGGTGCGATTCGCTTTGCCGAACTTCCAGTTGCCAGCTCCAATGCTTGCGCAATCATCCTACCCACCCACCCGCAATGTGGGTTGCAACTCCCATGCGGCGGCGATTGCGATGCGTGCCTGGCGCTGGCTGGCGCACCGCTGGGGCCGCGCCAGCTCTCGCAAGCTAACGCTCAGAACGGCCAGCTAAGCTGGCGCGACCGACGCGGCCGCGGTGGCGCAGACCGCTGGGGACTCCCCTTCGCGTCTCGCAGGCCGCGCTGGCGCGCACGCACTTCAGTGCGAGTCGGTGGTTCGGGCGGGCGCGGTATCATGGCGACGTGGACGAAGGCGGACGCGACGATGAAACTAGCGGCGATGGTGACGAGGATGGCGACGACAACAGCAAGGCCAATGACAGCGCCGATGCTGGTCACGACGAGGACGACGATGGTGTCCACGCCTCTGTGATGAAGACGTTGGGTGGGTTTCGACAGGCGCGCGCGGCCGACGCGCGCAAAGGGCCCGTATGGTGTCGCGTGGCAAGGGCCACCACACCACCCCCAGCAGGCGCGCAAAGGGCCTTCGAAGGATTCCGACCTGCGCGCTCGGGGAGCCCGCGTGGTCTCCTTGGACAGCATGCTGCAACAACGCACGGATGCCCTCAAAATTCGCAAGAACGTGCGTGCAGACTTTTTTGGGGAAAACAGTAAACATGAAGCTAAGGTAAGCTAAGATGAAATAAGCTAAGCTAAGATGAGATAAACAACGCTAAGCTAAGGGGACGTAGCTGGGGGAACCGCGGGGCGGATACTGGGGGAACCGCCCGGGGCGCTTTCCACTGCCTGGCCCTTTAAGCATACCGGGTAAGAACCTTTCTAGGCAGAGCCTAGGTAGGGAACAAAGTTCAATTCTGATTGCTATCGTTGCGCTAAATTTGCCGGAAGACGAGGAGAAATGGGATGGGGGAGAAATGAGGGGTGGGAGGATGAGGGTGAGCAGGTCGAGGAGTTGGAGGAGGAGGGGGATAAGGAGGAAGAGGATCGATGATCAGAGATGCGAAGAGATGAGGATATATGATCGTGTGATAGCGCGTATGATGATGCTGGTGGCGATAGCGAGCGCCGACTTCCTTCGATCGCCCCTGCGCGTTTGCACGCCCGGGCTGGCGCGTGCAAAACAGACCGAAGCACGAGGCAATTCGGCGGCGAATCCAGGGGGAAAGTGGGAGGGGGTGGGCTTTCCCGGAAGGGTCAGAAGGCCTCGGGCCTGTGAGGATCGTTTTCAAACCTTCTGTAACACTTTTTGGAGGGCGCGACGGCTTCTGAGGAGCCCCGCCGTCTGAGAAGGCCTGCCCCCTTCCTTTCCCCCTTGGGCTCGCCGACGAGCAGGGGCAGTGTGAAGTGAAGATTGCTTTCTGCCCGCGCAGGCAGCGTGAACGTGGACAGCCAGGCCAGGGCGCCGCCACGCGCGGCGACAGCGGGGGGCGGCCCGGCGTGGCCTCCCGCTCGGGGGGCCCGCTGGGGCCGGGGGGGCGGTTCGAACTCCGATTCCGCGACCCCTTCCTTACGGTAGCAAATCATGGGAGACTTGTGTACCCTCTTCCTCCTCCTCTTCTTCTTCCTCCTCTTCCTCCTCCTCCTCCTCCTCCTCCTCCTCCATCGTTCGGTAGCAATTCATGGGAGCCTTGTGTCCCCTCCTCCTCGTCCTCCCCGTCATGCTCCGCATCCCTCGTCCTCCTCCCCGTCCTCCTCCTCCTCCTCCTCCTCCTTCTCCTTCGCCTCCTCTTCTTCTTCTTCTTCTTCTTCCTCCTCCTCCTCCTCCTCCTCCTCCGTCGTTCGGTAGCAAATCATGAAAACCTTGTGCACCCTGGCAATTCCGTCTTCAGAGTGCGTCCGCGTCGATTAGCGTATGGCTATCGGCGAGATGGCGCCGATTTAGCGTCGATTTGCGTCGTCTAAGCGTCGATGTAGCGTCGATTAGCGTAGTTCGCAAGAGCCAGCAAGATGGTATGGAAGGCTTCCATGGGTTGCCACCGAACCTTGCGAGCCCTGCCCTTCAAAGAAATTCAAGCCTCGGGTTTGCCAGGACTCGGCTTCGCCAGCGCTGTTTAAAGGGCTCGTCTAGCATTTTGACGGCTCAGTTTCCGCGGGATGTTCGCAGCGGGAGCTCGCGGCAGATTTCAGATCGGGTCTCGTCATTATCCTGACGGCCCCGTCAGGCCAACCTGAGCCCTCCGAACCCGAGGTCCGCGTCTCCCCGATACCCCCGCGGGTCCGATCGACGCTGGGGCATCGGGCACCCCTCGCCTGGGGCTCGCCCGGATGCTGTCGCCTCTCGCGCACGCCCTGTTCCCCCCCCGCATGGGCTCCTCAGAGATCTGGCCCCGCAGGCGCAGGGATGACGTGCGCCTGCCCGCCTCCTCCTCCTCCGCCTCCTCCTCCTCCTCTTCCTCCCGCTCGTGCCGCTCCTGCTGCCTCTCTGGCTGGTGCTGCCGCTCCTGCTCTCCCGCTCCTCCCCCGGGGCGCGCCCGGAAGAGTGGGCGCGTCTCGGGGAGCCGCCCGCGAATGCCCACCTGGGCCGTGCTGGGCCGTGCCGGGGCCACCAAAATGGCGACGACGCGCGCCGTCCAGGGGGCGTCCCGGGGCCGTGCTGGGCGACATGGGTAAGAAGGGATAGTGCCGTCAAGCATACACTAAGGTAACACTGAAGGGAGGAGGCCAGCCCGCCGACCGACGCACTTACTTTCGGAGGCGGCAAAGAGGGGGGTGATGACTAGGGGGGGTGGACATCATGGCGGGGCCATGAGATCTCCCCTGATTCCATGGCGCCTCTTCTTGTTTCGATACGTCCCTGGCCCCCCCCCTTGGCCGCGCACGTGCCGCAGGCCATATTTGCGCCCCCCCTCTTGGACGCCCCCCTCTTGGCCGCCCCCGATATCTGCGTCTTACTTGCCCCAAGAGCTGCACCGGAAGCCTAGAAGCGGCGTCCAAACCTCTTCTCCCCCGCGCCGATCTGCTTCCCCTCAGCCTACGGCAGGTTCGTGTCGTGTCGACCGGCGGCGACCCTGCCAGCGGCGTTCAACGGAATCGTTCGATGTGGAACGATTCGGATGTTTCGGAAACGGCCGATCCTTCAAGGTTGAACGATCCCCGCGGTGTCAGAAGCCAACGCCGAACTCGCCACGACACGAACCTGACGTAATTTGTTTGGGGGTCTCCAGGGACCTCTTTACGATGGTGCGGCAATCCTGGGGTCAACAAAGGTTGGCACCGTCGACCTCTGCGCGATTCTGAAGGCTTTGGAGGGGCCCTGGGTGCCATCTTTGGGAAGCTCGGGACCGCATTGGAGCTCTCTTGTGGCTCTCTTGGGATCTCATGGGGCCCTATGGGGCCGTCTTGGAGCGGTCGTAGGGGCCTCTTGGGCCGTCTTGGACGCCCTGAAGACCGATAGGGCGAGCTTGCGAAAGCAGAAGCATACGGGTATCGGTCATGTGCTCCGCGTCGGGGCCTCTTGGTGGCACGCTTGGGGCCGTCTTGCAAAATATTGAGGGCATCTGGGGGCATCTGAAGGCCCCCTGGGGCCGACTTGGAGGCTGTCTTGGACCATGTGAGCTGTCTGGTAGGGCCATCGGGGCCGTCTGGATCCTTCTTGGAAGCCATCTTATGGCGTCGTGGAACTATTCCCACGTTGGTCTCTTGGTGCAAGGCAGCGGGCCGCGAGGTGTCAGTCCACCAGCCGCTCCACCTCCCCACGCATCGATACCCCCACCCACCCACCCACTCACCGACCCACCCACCCACCTACCCAACCATGCCCCATCCAGCCTCCTCATCCCTCCACTCCCCTCCACCCCCCGTCAGCTCCAATCATCACTCCAGAGCTCTCAGAGTGCTTCCGGAGAGCCCCGACGACTGATCCCCAAAGCCCCAGAGAAACCCCGAGAGGGCCCCGCGAAGCTTCGAGGAGGCCCCCAGAGATCCCCAAGTGAAGGGCCTGGAGGGCTGCTCAGGCTGGCCCTGGCTTCGGCTGTGCGAGAGCCACTGGAAGGGGGTATGGGCCGCACTCCGCGAGGCGTCGGCGGGCCCCCGCTTGCCAACGATTGGTCCGAGATGTCCCCGAATGGCTCCATCACCTACTGGTGCGAATGTCTCCGAATGTGCCAACTTGTCCAGCCTGCCTTGTCCTAAAAACGGCCGCAACTCGGCCTGGGGTGGCCACGGAACCCCCAGATGTCCACCCGAGAATGCCCAAACCGAGCAAGCCAGGCTTTGCCTAGTCTTGAGTGCCCCCTTGTCCGCTTCCGACGGGCCTCCGAGGCCGCGAGGCGGCTACAATGTCACCCAGGGAAAACCCGAGAGGGTCTTTCGAGAGCATGTTGCAGGATCCGATGGTGGGGCGCTTGTTCGAGCGCATCTTCTTTTGTGATCAATGGTCTCCAGGGTCGCCCCAAGAGTGCTCCGAAAGCCCCCTGGAAGACCACTGCGGTGAGAGCCGCAGTTTCACCGCAGTGTGAAAGCCCCACTGCGGTGAAACTAGGGGATGCATGATTCGTAGAAGTGTGTCGCCGCACTTTTTGGACCGATCGCCCCTGGGGTGGCCGAAAGGAGGTCCGAAACGCCCCAAAAAGAAATCCGAGAGGACCTGATGAGAGGCACGAGAGAGCTCCCAAAGCCTGCTCCAAGAGGAGCCCCAATGTGGCCCCACGAAGCAAAGGCCTTCGTACAGACGGTCGCTACGTCGTCCCAGCTTTCCCCGGTGGGTTTTCCCTATGCCCGCACACGGTAAGAGAAATTCACCAGAATTCAACATGTCATGAAATGGTGAAAATAGCGACAGTCTCACATATTGCGGCACCAGGAACCGAACATTAGCCAGACGAAGGACCCAACCATATGCAGCTGCCAGTACCGCATTGTGGGTACCGCTTTCGGTGGAGCTCCTTATCGGGCCACGAGTCGTGTGAGGGGTGTCCAGAATTGGGTGCGGTGGTGTCATGCGAACCCTCCCATTGGAGCCTTCGGTGGAAGCTCCCTATGGGGCCACGAACCGTGTGAGGGGTGTGCCGAATTGGGTGTGGTGGTGCCATGCGAACCCTCCCACTGGAGCCTTCGGTGGAGCTCCCTATGGGGCCACGAACCGTGTGAGGGGTGCGGTGGTGCCATGCGGACCCTCCCACTGGTCTTTCGGTGGAGCTCGGGGCCACGAACCGTGTGAGGGGGTGTGCCGACTTGGGCGCGGTGGTGCTATGCGAACCCACCCACTGGAACCTTCGGTGGAGCTCCCTATTGGGGAGGGGTGTGCCGACTTGGGCGCGGTGGTGCCATGCGAACCCTCCACTGGAGCCTTCGGTGGAGCTCCCTATGGGGCCACGAACCGTGTGAGGGGTGTGCTGACTCGACCGCGGTGGTGCCATGCGAACCCTCCACTGGAGCCTTCGGTGGAGCTCCCTATGGGGGCACGAACCGTGTGAGGGGTGTGCCGCTCGGGCGCCGTGGTGCCATGCGAACCCTCCCACTGGAGCCTTCGGTGGAGCACCCTATGGGGCCACGAACCGTGTGAGGGTGTGTGCCGACTCGGGCGCGGTGGTGGCATGCGACCCTTCCCCCTGGAGCCTTCGGTGGAGCTCCCTATGGGGCCGCGAAACGTGTGAGGGGTGTCCCGAAGTGGAGGACATGCGGAGGACAGAGGCACGGATGGGAGGAGGGAGGAGGAGGGAGGAGGAGGGAGGAGGTGGAGAGGAAGGAATGAAGAAGGGAATGAAGGATCGCGGGGCGCTGTCTCTTCAAAACGAGGACCCAACACCAATGGATGATTCGGACAACCACTGCAAAGTGATTGCGGGGTGCGCGCTCATAATCAAGACTTTGCCCTATGTTTACTTGTATGTGTGGTTTCCAACAAGCAGGTTGCCCTCATTGTTCTTGATCGACAACCCATTGGTCGGAGGATGGGGTGTCTATCAATGAATAGCAATGATAAGCCTCTCCCTGAAGGGGAAGGAGGGGGTCGTTTGAAGAGCTATCTCTATAAACTACCAGCGCTCAGAGGGCTGGAGGGATCTCGAGAGAAATCCGGCAGTAACACCCCAACGCCCTAAACCTTCGATCTTCGATCATCGAGACTTGATCCTTCCCCTCACAAAGACGGGGGAACCATCCGACTCGAGTTTGCCGGATCCAGGGCTTGCCGCCTCGTCTTGACGGCCCTGACATGAGTTTAGCGGTCCAGCCCCGGTGAGATGCTTGCATCGAAGAAGAGAACGCCATAAGCGCCAAAAGGTTATGTACATGGCGTTTTTTCTTCCTCTATTCTAGCGGGAGCTCCCTCCGCATGTAAATCCAGATCCCGCCGCCTTTCTAGTGGCCCCGTCAGGCAGACGCCGAGCCCCCCCCCAAAATTCGAGCATCCACGCCTCCCCAAAAAGAAGGCGGCGGGAGCCCCGCCACGTGCGCCCGCGCGCGCGCGCGCCCGCCAGATGCGCCTCGTGCCGGTCAGCCCCACGCCGCCGGCGCCCGCGAAGGACGCCCGTGAGCCCTCCGTTTCGACGGGGCGGGCGAGGCGGGGGAGGAGGAGCAGGGGCAACCCTGAGATCCTGGCGTTGCAATTCTTTCACCGCGGGCGTTTTCGCTCCATTTCGGGCCCCAGGACCCTGGCAGATCGATCTGGCCCGACAAAGGACGCAGAAAGATGGGGTCCGGGTCTCCGGTCGGAATTTCTCGCGATGCTGCCTTTTTTCCGCAACGTCGGATCTCAGGGAACTCGGGACGACTTCGTCGTGCTGCTCTGGCCTCGTCGCCGCGGCCCTCTTGTGGACAAGCGGGGTGGAAGTCGATCAACGGAGAGGAAGCAGGCTGCCAAATAATTTCCAGATGTCTAAACATTCGTTCAAACATGTTTTAAATATGTAAAATCATGCTTGAAACATTTTTAGAACATGTTTTGCACATTTTAAGCACATTTTAAACACATGTTGTTAGAGTGTCCACTGTCATGGCATCCACAAGACAAGCGGGGTGTTGCGGGCGAGACGTGAGCTCCCCGGGCGAGGAGGAGGCCGCGCAGAGGGCGGCGGCCGCGCGACGGGCCCAGCTCGCCGCGGAGCTACCCGGGTGAGCGGCCGAGGGGCGCCTCCTCGGTGCCCGTGCCGTCGTTCGGCGTGCCGTGCGGTGCTGTCGTGGCGGTGGGCGGTGGGCGGCCTGCGTTTGAGCGAGTGCAGGCGGGCCGGCCTGTCGCCTTCAGGGGGAGCACGGGGGTGGTGATGGTGGTGGCGCTGGTGGTGGTGGCGGTCGGGGTCGGCAAAGAGGGGGGCGATGACCAGGGGGGGGTGGATATCATGGCGTGGGCCATGATATTTCCTCAGGTTTCATGGCGCCTCTTCTTATTTCATTACTTCCCCAGCCCCCCCTGGGCCGCGCACATGCCGCCGGTCATGATTTGCACCCCGCCCTCTTGGACGCCTTCCTCTTGGCCGGCCCCGAGGCGATGATGATGATGGCAATATGAGGGGTTATGTCGAAGTATATGACGAACGTGGTAATGGTGGTGGGCGGGATCGGCAGGATGAGTGATGGTGCTGGTCGTGGTGGTAACATTTGTGATGATGGTGATGACGATGGTGGTGGTGATAATGATGATGTGATCATAATGGCGCTTTACGGTGGTGGTGACGATGAAGGCGGTAATGGTGATGCTGGGGAGGAGGAAGACGAGGACAAGGTGGTGAAGGAGAGGGGTCTCTAAGAGGTGGGCGAGCTAACCGACGAGAATGAGGACGGGCTTGTTGGGCGCGTCGGACATCCATGTGCGCGTGAGGGAGGGGTGGGGCGGTGGTGGTTGGGGGGATGCGGATGTGGAGAAGGGGGGAATACATGCGAGGAGGAGAATGAGAAGGAAGATACATGAGTGTATGTAACAGGGGGAAGATGGTGATGGTAATGGTCGTGGTACTGATGGTGGTGGTGATCATATCCATGATGCTGGGGAACTGTGATGAAAATGACGGGGAAAAGGGTGTGGGGCGTCTTGGGTGGGGGGTGGGGGGATAACGAGGATGCACCCGATGATGATGCTGATGATGATGATGCTGCTGATGATGACGATGATGCTGCTGCTGATGATGATGATTGTGATGCTGCTGCTGCTGATGATGATGCTGATGCTGCTGCTTGCTGCTGACGCTGACGCTGATGATGATGCTGACGCTGATGATGATGATGATGATGATGATGATGATGATGATGATGATGATGATGATGATGATGATGATGATGATGATGTGTAACATGTTGATTGTCATAGTGGTGATGATGCTGCTGCTGATGATGATTATCATGATGACGACGAGGATCGCAACAATGATGACGATGAGGGGGAGGAAGAGTAGCAGGAGGAGGAGGACGATGCGGAGGAGGAGGAGGAAGAGGATTAGGAGGAGGACGATTTGGAGGAGGAGGAGCAGGAGGAGGAGGAAAGGAGGACGAGGAGGAGGAAGAGGAGGAAGAGGATATACGAGGATAGGGAGGATGAATCGGGGAAATGGGTAGGGGGAGTTCGGTAATATTTGGCGTTCAGCGGCGTCGTCCTTTGTAGCCGAACATCTGGGTCCACTTTGGTGCTGTTTCAAGCTTTCATTGCGCCGCTCCTTCGCCCCCCCTGCCATGTCCTGGGCGTGGATAATAGTTTCATGAACGGCCGACGCGCTTGAGCTTGGAATCCATCGCAGTGGTTCTGCAAATTCAATGGCGCCAGCGCCAACGAAAGCACGAACGGCCTACGCGGGTGAGCCTGCAACCCTTGGCACTGGTTCTGTGCTGCAGTTGGAAAGGCAGACAGGCGATTCGAACCCCAACTGCGCAGCCCGTTTTGAGGCCGCCTCTGGACCGTGTTGTCGGACTTTTCAACCATTTTGGGGTCTTCTTCAAGCTTTCTTCGGGGCCTCGTGGTCTATTTTGGGGCCATCTTGGCTGCATTTTTGGGCCGCCTTGCGCTGCCGGAGGCCCGGGAGGATGACAACATTAAGTCGGGCCTGTCCCTCTACAGGAGGATTTTCCAAAAATAGTGAAAGTTTTTTTCGTCGAACATCGGCCTGTATGGGGACAGGCCCGACCTAATGATAACGTGTGTTTGGCCTTTGGGGGTCCTCCTTGGGGTAATTTTGAAGGCATCTTGCGACAATCATCTGCGACCGCCTTGCTTTCCCTTCTTAACGTGAAGATTTGTCAGACACCGAAGGGAATGAATGGTTCTGGCGTTTGAAGGTCCTCGTTGGGGTAATTCTGAAGGCATCTTGGGGCAAGCTTCGGCCTCCTTGGCGTCTTCACGTCCTCTTCGGAGCCTCGTGGGGCCGTTTTCGGGGTCTCTTGGGGCCTCTCGGCCGCGCGGTGGTGTTTCCGTGAGAGTCTGAGCCCCATGTGGCCCTCTCAATGCGTGTCCAGGGACAGAAATCTGAGACCCCCTTTTTTTGGGCGCCGCGGGCCCATGAGCAGACAGTAATTTGAGACAGGACTGGAGATACAAGGAACAACAAACGAGAGGCAACGCAGCGAACGTTAGACAGCAGTCCAGCAGGATCTTTCAAGAAACCTTGCGCCCCCAAGGGTGCAGGCCGGCGGACGTGTCTGCGGGTGTGGGCGAAAGCTCCACGTGCGAGAGACGCAACTTTCGTCGTCTGCGTCCCCCGCGTCGCGTGCGACGCGACCGCGCTGCACCTCGCTGGAGGAGGGAGGAGCGTGTGGCGCAGCTCGTCCCCTCCTGGAGGAGCGGTCGTGCGCTCGCCCCTGGCGAGGTGCAGGGGCCCGGCCCCCGGGGGCAGCGGCCCGCGCGCGCGCGAGGGCTACCACTGGGCGCCGTCGCCGGGCACGCACCCCCAGCTCGGGTTCAGCAGCGGGTCGCAGGCCGGTGCGGAGCAGGCAGGAGTCGGGCCGGGCGAGAGGGGGGGGGATGGGGAAAGGGGGGATTGCGAAATCTGCCGCGTGCAGCCGGTTTCCGCCCCACCGAGGAGCCCCTTCCTCGATACATGGGCGCCTCCGGCGCCGGGAGGCGCCGGGGAAGTCAGCTACGCGAGCTGATTCTGACCCCCCCCCCCTTTGCTATCGCCACCTTTCGCCCGGCCCGAAGGAGGCAGTCCACCGCCAGAATGCTCATCGGTACGGTCGACAAGCCGACAGCAGCTCGCACCCACCGTCAGCAGGAATCGCTGTCGGTGTCGCCGCGGACGTTGTCCATCGGAGACGAGATCGCCCGCCCGAGAGCGGCCGCAGGCGGTTTTGGGCACCGTTCGTCTTCCCTCTCCGTTCCGGCTTCGGCCCTGCCAGTTCCAGTGACTCTCGGCCCGACCCGCCGCCGTGCCCTGCTTGGAGGAGGAGGAGGAGGAGGAGGAGGAGGAGGAGGTGGAGGAGGAGGAGGAGGAGGAGGAGGATTGTGGACCAGAGGTCGCTTGGAGCTCGCCCGTGGGGTCTCCCGGGGCGCCTCCTCCCAGGCCTCCCGAGGGCGTGCCCGGGGCCGCCCGCGGGGCCCGCCCGCGGGGGGGCTTCTCTTCTCGGGGGGCCTCCGGGCGAGCAGGAGGGGCAGAGCCCACCGCAGGCTCGCGCCGCGTCGACGCGGCGTCGATCCCGGCGTGGGCATCCATGGATCGGGGGCGGCAAAGAGGGGGGCGAGGACCAGGGGGGGGTGGATATCATGGCGGGGGCCATGACATTTCCTCAGGTTTCATGGCGCCTCTTCTTATTTCATTGCGTCCCTGGCCCCCCCGCTGGGCCGCGCACATGCTGCCGGTCATGATTTGCCCCCCCCCCCCCCCTCTTAGACACCCCCCTCTTGGCCGCTCCCGAATGGAGGAGACCTGCCGGTCTTCAGAGCCGGCCAGGAGAAGTCGAGCGCCCTGCGCCGCCAGGAGTCCGCGCGGATCGCTCCAGGTGGAACGATCCACGCTCGGCCACGCGCACAAGGGGGGTAGGGGCAGGGGTTCGGGATATTCGTCTGGAGCCTTGAGACCCAGATCCCCTCGAGTCCCTAAGAGATCACGACGGGAGGTTTTTCGTTTTTTTCGGCCTCTGGGGGCCCTTACCAGGCCTCGGGACCGGCAAACATCGATTGAGGATGAAGAGCCGGTCCTGGGGAGTGGGTCCGGACCTGCGGGGGCCGCGTCTGTAAAATACATGACGTTGAGATGGGAGTCGATGCAAACTGTCGGGCACGCGCAGGGGGGTAGGGGGGAGGGGGGAAGGCCTCTTAGAAGCACCGCTGCTTCTTAGAAGGCGCGGGCCTTGCCTGCAGATGTAGGGCGGGCGCCCTCTAAGGACCAGCCTCCTTCTAAAAGAAGCCTTGCCCCCCTCCGCCTGCCCCCGTGCGCGCGCCGCCAACATGCGGTGCCAACAGGTCGCCACGGCACGAACCCGTCGTAGCCACGTCCACCGCCTCGGAGCCGTGCCCCGGGATGTCGAGCACCTCTCGAGCCCGAGGGCGGGGGCCGTGTCCACGGCCACCGCTCCCCAGTGAGCCACCAGGTGCAACGACTGGGGGAGGGCAGGCTCTCAGTGCCCCTTCGTCGCCGAGGGGGGCCCTGACAGCCGCCCAGTAGCGTGCGGATTCGGTGTCGGGGGCCCATCGCCCATCCATCGGCGATGCATCGCCGATGCCAGCTCGATGTTTCTCCCCCCCCCCCTGATCTGGCCTCCCTGGTTTTCGAGCCATGACCAGGGCCTCTGGCGGACGTTCGGGACTATCTGGGTACCCGCCGACGCGCCTCGGCGAGGCGCAGCCGCTGGGAAGCCGCCGAGAACCAACGAAATCGTGAACAGATCGCCGGAGAACCCCCACCGTTGCCCCTTAACTGTGATGTTGCCCCCCCCCCCCGAGCCCGACTCTCCCCTCGAACGTCCCCTTCCTCGCTCCAGGGCAGATCATCCGGCAGCCGCAGGTGCGGGTGTCTCTGGGCGGCGCTGGGACGAAAGAGCCTCCCACCAGGTCGCCCGACCCCCAGGAGGCGGAGGGTGAGGGTGAGGGTGAGGGTGAGGGTGAGGGTGAGGGTGAGGGTGAGGATGAGGATGAAGATGAGGATGAGGATGAGGATGATGATGATGATGATGATGATGATGATGGTGGTGCTGATGATAATGATAGGATGATGGTGATGATACTGATGATGATTGATGATGTTTGTTGTTATTGTTGATGATGATGCTGCTGCTGATGATGATGAGGATAAGGATGATGATGATGATGATGATGATGGTGGTGGTGATGATGATGATGAAGATGAAGATGAAGATGATGATCATGATGATGATGACGATGATGATGATGATGATGATGATGGTGATGATGATGATGATGCTGATGATGCTGCTGATGATGATGCTGATGATGCTGATGATGATGATGAGGATGAGGATGAGGATGATGATGATGAGGATGAGGATGAGGATGATGATGAGGATGATGATGATGATGATGATGATGATGATGATGATGATGATGATGATGATGATGATGATGATGATGATGATGATGATGATGATGATGATGATGATGATGATGATGATGATGATGATGATGATGATGATGATGATGATGATGATGATGATGATGATGTGATGATGATGATGATGATGATGATGATGATGATGATGATGATGATGATGATGATGCTGATGATGCTGCTGCTGTGCTGATGATGATGATGATGATGATGATGATGATGATGATGATGATGATGATGATGATGATGATGATGATGGTGGTGATGATGGTGGTGGGGAGGAGGAGGAGGAGGAGGAGGAGGAGGAGGGAGGAGGTGGAGGAGGAGGAGGAGGAGGAGGAGGAGGAGGAGGAGGAGGAGGAGACGCAGCCCGCGACACCCGGAGGGAACACGTGTCCCACCCAGATCGAGGAGCAAAAGCCGCCATAAGCATAGATTCTGGGCGCTTCGCGTAGCCCCACCAGGCACTGGCGCCTGTGGTTCATCCTAGGGCACCTTCGTGGCTCCCCTGCGCCGCGGCCGCGACCTCGGCTGCTGTGCCGGTGTTCACCCCTGCGCCGTCCGTCCGCGTGTGTCGCCGCCCCTGGTGTGCCGACCGCGGATCGCGCTCTTGGCCGCGCTGCAGCTTGGCTGCTCCTCGCACTTGGACATTCTGCTGCGGTTGGACCTCCTGGCCCCGGCCACCTGGTACTTCGCAGCTTGCCAACGCTTACGTCTCCTCTGGGCACCCAATTCGGCATCCGACAGTCGGTTCACTGGCTGCGGCCAACCTGGTACCTTCGCAGTTGTCAGGGGGCTTGCGCCCTTGCATCTAATTCCACGTCTGCTGCTGTCCCTGGTCGACGGTCCCCCCGTCTACCTGCAGCTTCCGACGCTTTGAATACCTGCACCCTGGCAGTACTGTTTCAGCTTACAGCCAGCCCCTTCCACTCGCCGGTCCGCCGCCGAGGTGCTGCGTGAGGCTTTGTCCGCCGCTTTAGGTGTGGCTGCGCCCCGTCGCTTTAGGCTAATTCGTGGTTGCGTGCCCCGCTTCTACTGGACTCGCCGCTGGCGCGCTCGCCTGCGACCGGTGACGAAAAAGTAGCCCCACCAGGGGTCGCGTGCTTCGTTCCTGGACGCCGCCCGACTGTCTCGGTGCGGTCGCGATCAAAAAGTAGCCCCACCAGGCCATCCAGAAACGATGCCCAGGCGAGGTGCCCATATAGTCGGACCTCCGAGCAGTGTTTTGTTCCTTCGTGGCGGGTTCAGTTGGCCACCAGAGTCAGTGGATACAGGGATCGGTGAAACGATGCTCGAAAGCAGGACTCGGGCAGCCCGGCCGCCGAGGTTGTCGACTCGATCCGATCGATTCGATCCGATATTTATTTCGGCCGTCCCAATCGGATTCGATTCCGATCGGATGCGGCCCGGCGCTTGCGTGGCGATGTTGTGCGCCCTTGCGTGGCCGATCCGACGCGACTTCACACCCGGGCCCATGCGGCCCGATCCGACGCAGGCCGCACCGCTCGGGAAACGATTTATTGCAATATTGGTATACTATATGTTCGGGTCGGACGCGCGCGCCTCCAACGAGGATATATGGTACTAGTATGTCTCTGTGCGTCCCATGTTGGGCGAATGCATCTATACACCAGCACCACCGAAATACCCAACCAGGTCCACCCCGGGTCCCACCATGGTGTCTCGACCCTTCTGGCCTCGGCCATGAGGGCGTGATACACCATGCCACGGCCCAGTATGGCCTTGGCCAGCAGGGTCGGTACACGGACTCCCTTTGCGTAGTTGCAGCCGCCGTTTTCCCATGTTTGAGTCCGACGACGGGGCTGGGATTGGGGCAGGGTGGATAACGAACTCTGCTGCATTCACTGGCGCCTCTTGCTCCAGGAGGCGCCGTGGAAGTCAGCGGTGTGGTGGTAATGGGCGTCGCATTATGCTTAAGTCGTGCACGTTCATGTCCTCTATACGAGGAATATTCAAACATAGTAAACATGGGCTTGGGGCGTTGTTTGTTTGTTTGTTTGTTTGTTTGTTTGTTTGTTTGTTTGTTTGTTTTTTTGGTGGCTGTTTCTATATACCAATGAGTGTTATGTGGTATGTTCGGGTTATTCTTCTGTTCGCCCAACATCCGCCTGTAGGAAGACATGCCCGACCTACCATTATTCGCAATCGTGTCATTACTAATGGTGCCAAAAGGACCAGGCGGTCGGAGCCACGTCGCTCGAGTCGTGTCGCGGCGCTCGACTCACTGGCGGTCAGGTGCCCGAGGGTGTCAATTTTTTGGTGCTCGAGGCCCGCCTTGGCAGGGCTCGGGCAGTCGAGCGAAAAGGACTGCCAGTGGGAGCAGGCAGGGAGGGAGGAGGGAGGGAGGAGGAGGAGGAGGAGGAGGAAGAAGGGCAGGAGGGAACGAGCGAGCGAGCGAGCGAGGAGGAGGGGGGGGGAGGCGGTGGAGGAGGAGATGGAGAAGGAAAGAGGAGGAACTGCGCGACTGGCGGGCGCGCCAGGCGCGGCCGCTGGTGGCGGTCCCGTCCGTCCAGTCGGTCCCCCCGCCGGCCCTGACTGCAGCGCCGCCGCCCTCGCTTCCTCCCGTGGCAGCCCCCGAGATTCGAGGATCGAGGCCTCGCGGGTGCCGTCGGCCCCTCTTGCGGCGGCGTGCCGCAGGGGGGAAAAGCGAGCAGGCCTGCTCAGAAGGCGGCGGGGGCCTCTCAGAAGCCTTCCGGCCTTTTGAGAAGTTTGCTGCGTCTTCGGGGGAGGCTCCGAAGGCTTCTCAGAAGGCTGGGGGACTTCCGAGCCTTCTGAGAAGGGCCCACCTCCCTTCTCGCTTGCCCCCCTCGCTCGCCGCCGGGTCTGCCCTGACCGCCCACCAAACCACCCCAACCCAACCCGAAGGCCCCCGATTTGCCCTTCATTTCCAGTGGTGGGGGGGGGGTCGGGGAACACTGAAAAAACACATATGAAGCCTGTACCCCCCCCCAACCCGAAATCCGGGTCTTCGGGTTGGGTTGGGGTGGTTTGGTAGGTAGGTCCTGTCCGAGGCCGAGCCCAAGGCCCAGCGACTGGGTCTCGGGAGGAGGCTCCACGAAGAAAAGCCCCTCGGGCGCCCAAGGAGGTCCTCCCGGCGGGCCTCCCGAGAGGGCCCGCCCCCCCCTGCCTCCTCCTCCTCTCTCCCCCCCCCGGGTCCGCCGCCGATGCTCGCGGGAGCCCTCGGGGGGGAGGCTCCTGGCGAGGCCGTTCCCCGAGGTCCGTGTTGGTCTGGGGGCAGGGGTTCCTGGGCCAGGGCTCGGCCTGAGCGGTGTGCTTCCAGGAAGAGGAACAACACACGCAGACACCAATGATCGTCTACTCCCAGGAAAAGATGGGAGCATATGGGAAGGGGGGGGGGGGAAGAGGAAAACCCAGCACATACGGGAACACATGGGGAACCCTGTGGTTTGTGTCTGTTTCTTTGTGTGTCCCAAGGCCCCTTTAGTTTTGGCGATTTCGTGGACCGTTCTTGTTTTGACATCGTTTTGCAGCGGAGGCGGAACGAAACTAAAATGAAGGAAAACGAAACCAACACGAAAACGAACACTGTTTCGGTCGAGCCCTGCCCTGTCTTGGACGCTTTCGGCTGCTTCTAGGACCTCCAGAGACCTCCTCCGCAGACTTTGTGCTTTGGGTCTTGTGCGCTCACCTTCATGCTGCCAATGCTGCTGCTCCGCCACTGCGACCGCCAGCGCCAGCGCCGCCGCCACAGCGACTGGTGCTGCCGCCTTGCGTCCTCTCTTGCGTTTTTTCCGCAGCCCTGGTTGATTTCGTCCTTCCTTGCCGGCATGATCCTTTTCGTTCTGTTCCTTCTGCTGCTTCTCCTCTTCCCCAGTCCCTCCCTTCCATGTTTAATCCCCTCCTCTCCCTGTCCTTTTTCCCTACATCCGTCTACCTCCTGGGAGTGTCCCCTGGGTGTCCCTCTGGTGTCGTCTGGTTGTTCCTTGGCGCCCTTGAGCAGGAAACAGGGAGGTGAGGGGGGAGGGGGAGGGGAACGTGGGAGGGGCATGAGGCTTCGGGGAACGGGGACTTTGGTGGGGGAGGGCGAGGGGAGGTGGGGAGGAAGATGGGGGATGGAAGAGGGTATGCGATCTGAGACGGGGAGTGGAGTAGGAGGAGGAGGAGGAGGAGGAGGAGGAGGAGGAGGAGGAGGAGGAGGAGGAGGAGGAGGAGGACGAGGAGGAGGAGGAGGAGGAGGAGGAGGAGGAGGAGGAGGAGGAGGAGGAATCCATCCACCAGTGCGCGGCATTGCCCGCAGGATCTGCGTGCGCGACTTCCCCCACACCAAGAAGGCGGAACCGCGCTACCCGACCTACGGCGCCCTCATGGTGCACCTGGAGAGCCAGGGAGTGGTGCTTGATGTAGGGTGCCCCCTCTCCGCGCCCCCCCCCTTTTATCCCTCGCGCCCAGCCTTCCCCATGGCACTTCGCCATCGCCGACGCATCGGCCCAAGCGACACCGTGCTTTCCCGAAGACACTTCTGGAGCGCCTCGAACGGCACCCTTTCTGAAGAGAGGACAACCCGCCCCCGCGCCCACCAGGGGCCTCGGGAGGAGGCGGAGGAGGAGGAGGAAAAGGAGGAGGGGGGCCAGTGTAAATCCAATTTTCATTAACGATGTTGGAATAAACCCCCCTTCTACGCTCCCTCTTCGCAGGCCCCTACGAGGCTTCATTTCCACTGTGCGAACTGCCTCGTTGGGGGAACCGTTTGAAGACCCTGAAGCGTGCCGAAACATTATTATCGGGGCTCCAACGCCGCGGATCAACTTGGGCACAGTTTGAGCGGGACTCGTTGCCCGCGCCGCCGTGGACATTCTTCATCGAAGACCACGAGCCGCCCGGGCAGCAGCGGCCGCGGTCGGCGTTGGGCGACATTTTCTGTTGGGCAGCGTGCCCATATTTTCCGTGCCCGTTCCTCGCCGAGCGCGTTCCGCTACTCGCGAAGTGCGTACTTGCGAACGTCCGAAATAAACAGGTCTTCTTCTTATGTGATATATCGTAAATCCCCCTTCGGCGACCCCGATCGGTATCGTTTATCCGATCCCCGTCCCCATCTCCATCGCCTTCGAGACCCCCGCCCAATAACCGCCCCAGTTGGGGATGCGCCCCTGGGAACCCGAAGGGAACGACCTATATCCCCATCTGGGGGCAAATCGGCCAGTGGGGCCCGGGCCGCGCCGCTGGGGATGGGGATCGGTTAATCGATACTCACCCGACATCGCGCAGCCTCTGACGATTTTTTGTTCTTGCGTGCCAAGTTTTGAACGTTTTTGGGTATTTTTCGTTTTTCGCACCGAATCCGCTTGTAGGAGGACGCGCCCGACTTAGAGCAAGCAGGAGTATCTCATCATCGTTGGAACCATCCCATCCCTGCCGGGGCAGGGTGCGTTGTCTTTCTCTGCGCGCCCCAACTAGGTGGGGATGGGCGCTCCGAAACCCGAGGGGGGCGGTGCCCATCCCCACCAGAGGGGGGGGGGTTGCTTAGCGGGGCCAACGATTCCCCGTTGAGGGTCGGGATTGTTTTCTTCGTCCAAATCATCTGGAATATCGAAACAGGAGCGTATGCATTACCAGTGGCGGGGTGTTTTTCAATTTTTCGGAGGGTCGGGGACGACCTCGGGGTGGCGTGGTGTACATTTTTTCCTTTTTCTCCCGGGGAAGCGACGAAACATGTGTACTCCAGGATCCCGTTTACACCAGGATCTCTTATTCTGTGCGAATCTCGGTGAAGGGCCGGAAAAAAAACAAAAAAAACTTAACGTATGGAGTTCGGCTCCTTGAAAGAGGACCTGAACCTCCTCTTCCTCCTTCTCCTCCTCCTCTCCTCCTCCTCCTCCTCCTCCTCCTCGTCCTCCTCCCCCTCCTCCTCCCCCTCCTTCTACTCCTTCTCTTCCTCCTCCTCGTCC